ATTATCTGTGAGGTGTCAGCAATATTGTGACTTTGTATATGTGTGTCTTAGCAAGAGTATAGTTCCTTTAGACATGTTTACCCGTTCTAATATCTGCCAGTTGAGCCCATTATAACAAGGTCATGTCTGCTTCAAATTAGGACGTTGGAACATACGTGCATGTTCCTGTGTGTTAACAGAAACAACACGCCTGCTTACATCCCCTGTGTAATGCAGTGACTGTTATACTGATGCCTGCTGTATGTTGATATTAGGCCGTACTGTACATAAAAGCCTTAAAATGTTCTTTTAATTGCAGATAATAAGAGAAAATGGCAAATAACTTGAGCCTGAGGACAAAAGCTGTACTGTCCTGTAGCTATGCAAAAATGATAAGAGCTGTAGTGAAATATTTTAGTCTTACAAGTTCATGACCTTGACATCTATACTCCTAAAACCCACAGAGATGCAATAAGGCCATCTCAACCTAAAAACAGTACTTTGATGCCTCACATACTTGCAGCTAGCATACAGAAGTGCCATGTGGGTGGGGTTTGCCCTACAATACCCAAAGACTTCAGACAATTACAGGAAACCTAATTTAACAGATTGGTCCGACTGATTTAAAATGTAGTGAATGCTACCCATCTGTAATCCTAAACAGGCTTTTACTAAGAATTATTAACTAACAATGACAGTAGTACAACCACGGCCAGTCACCGTGAAGCAGCTCCAATCCAAGCTCCATCTTCACAGGCAGGCCAGATCACTGTAAGGTCTTCCCCTGGGTGGGTGTCTTAGGAAGTGGAGGTTAGATAATACAGGGGATATGAGGGATACAGTGTGATCCAGACCCGTGCAGGCCAGGGCCAAGCAGTTCCCTGACAGACCACAGGAGCTGCCTGGCACTGTTCAGCCACACACCCTAAGCCTATGATCCACCAATGTTACATTTCCAACCAAGATGATGAAAAGCCCAAATAAGAAACGATGTGGAAAAATGACTTTGAGCCTCTTCAGCTCCGCCTTTAGCTGATTTGTCTGTCCTCAGTGAACCAGATCAGGTTTCCGACATTCTCATTTTTCCACTAATGTGACAACTACTGAATTAGATTTTTGTTTTCCACAATGAAAAATCATCTCCCTCGTTCAAATCGATCGATATCGCAGCGTGCTCCCTTCCAGGGCTGACAAAGTGATCAGGAACTTGTGGTTTTAGTGCTGAATTGCATCCAGCTGACCAGCCAGGAATTTGATTGCGTGTATGAAATCATCTGATGCCAGAAAACACTAATCACGATGGGCCTCTTTGGCGACCATCGATTCAAGTTAAATAAAACACTGCAGAGAAATACTCACCAAAAGTCGACGGCTCGGCTCTCGTCGAGGCTTTAGAGGCAGACGGGGAACATTTCTGCAAGTCAGAAGTTAAAAAAACGACAGGCAACACGACGCAGCTAGCCGGAGAGGGAGCCAACTAACACCAACGTTAGCCGCGGCTAGTTCTCCTACTTGGTGTCGGAATAAAACACCGAGCACCGGGCCGGTGTCCAGGCGGGAGCAGCCGCTGTCCGCTTTATGTCCACCTCGTCAAACGGCGTATTTCGGTCGATGGAAACTCCGTATTTCCCTGTCGATGTAAAGCTGAAACTAGAGAGGTGGAAACCAAAGTGCTACTGTTGGGGGTTAACAACTTTGCTGTAAAACACGCCCTCTGATTGGTCGGCTGAGGCCACCAATCACCTGTGGAGAGCAGCTGGGCCCGTGACGTCACGCCCCACTGGGGGATGGAGCGAAACGTGATTGGCTGACAGCGTCACCACGAGCATTTAGCTCGTAGCTAATTTATATGGTAACCTAAGGTCACAGTTATCAGTTTATGTTTTTCTTTTCCTGTATTACTCGAATATTATTTAGATGCTGAACTGCACTGTCATTCATTTTATTTCATTTTAGAAATACAGAAATACAATAAGGCTAAAAAAAATAAAGATCATGTATACCCTCACATGTACAGGTTTGACATGATAAATACATACATGGGTATGTACAATAGGCTGTATGATGAATATGTACAGAAATGACAGGATGAATATAGATATGGATACAGGTGTAGCATGACGGTGTATGTACCCAGCTGAAGGACACACCGTGTGTAGAATTATACTTAAATTTAAACAGAATAGTGGTGTTACAGTTCTATTATTGGAGTCAAAAAAGGTATAAAGAGAAAGAGCAGCGCTAACATGATGTCTTTGCACATGAAGAGCTTTAAGAGGACAGTGTTATTATTTTTGCTGCTGATCTGCAAGAGCTATAAAGATTTTAAACAACAACAACAACAACAAAAACTGTGTTACATTTAGTTTTTGAGCTGTATGGAGACAAACACTGTTTCATGATGGTTTTACACTTGATGAGCTAAAGGGAGAAAAGCAGTGCTGTGTACATTTTGCTGCATCTGAAAGATGAAAGAGCTTTAAAAAGACGTTGTGCTGGAAGAGCTATAGGATTTAAAAACAAAAAAAAAAATCTATTGATTGATTGATTTCAGACATGCCCCACTACCACAGAGGCAAAAGAGAGAAAAGAAATCACACAAAATGAAAAAAAGAAAAAACAAAACTTGAAATAATGTCTAAAGACCAGAAGAATGAAGTTTAACTTGTTAACTCAAACCTGCTACATGTTTCCTGTTTGCTTCAAACATTATGCTGATTTACATCCTGAGAAACCCCAACGACATTTACAGTTTCATATTATTATTATTATTATTATTATTATTACATTTTCTTAAAAATAATAATGATTATTATTATTATCAATATTACAATTTGTAACTGTGCTCATTTTGAGATTGACAAACTGATAAACATCTACTCTTCATGGCAGTACGAGCTGTTAAAATGTCCTCGTTATTCACAGTTTCTGATGTTGCCTGTGCACAGTTGCTGTATGTTATCAGGGAGTAACTTCTCATCTGCTTTGAACGTTATACGGGCAGATCAAAAAGTCACAAAATCAAGACATTTCAAAGTATGTTCTTTCAAAAACAATATATCAATGTGTTCTTGTCCTTCATTGGAATGAAACAGGTTTGGCTTTTATATATTTAATGAGATTTTTGTGATCCAGTACGACACCTATTTATTTTCATATATTCTCTCAGTGTTATCAATCTTTATGCAAACTGAAGAGTTCATTGATTGTTCTCATACCTGGTCTGAAACCCCTAAAAACACTCACCACTGTGTATTAAAGGTACATATTTACATGAAAATAACACCTTTATTGTCTAAAATAGCTGAAATGTAACTACACAGTTGCTTTATCTAAATTATATTTAATCATTTGCACCATTTCTTCATCATGTGGGATGTTGCTTTACTTCCTCAGTATCATTGCCAGTACTTTAGCTTACTTATTAATATATTCAGTAATCTATCGTACTTATACTTTATTGATTTTCAAATCGGCACTGCATTTCTCGTGTTGTTGTTTAGTTTTCTGATCAATATCTGGCAAAAGAATTTTCTTCATGATTAATGAAGCTCTACCTCATTCTATCCTTACCCACTGCTTTGCTACTTGGTGCAGCTCAAGCACACCAGCTCACCTGCCACTCTGCTCAAACACCGCGAAACTACTCCATGCTACACAATTGTCGGTTGTAATGTCGGAGTAATTCCAACGTTTGAGCTGGAAACCGATTCTAAGAGATTCTAAGCATGAAGTCCAATCTTACAGGTTTGTCACAACTTGTCTGAGTCCGTATTCTGAGACTGTCATCGGTGTGTTGCAGTTTCAAGGTAGAAATGCTCGGCCATGGTGTTGCCTGCTTATTTTGCTCCTGATGATGCGACTTCTAATGACGGACTGCCATCGTACCGGACTGTCGTGGTGAAGAGGGAGCTGCATGGAAAGATGACGCTCTCAGTTTACAAGTTGATCTGAGTTCTAACCATCACCTGTGGTTGTGAGCGCGAAGCAGCAAGTGAAAGAATGAGGATATGGTGGAGCTGGGCTCGGCCTTTAAGACAGAGTGAGAAGCTCTGAGTAGAGTCGCTGTTACTTCATGTTGAAAGAAGCCTCCAGGGCTCAAGAAGACACTGAGGCAGACCCAGAATTCGCTGGAGGGATTACATATCTTATCTGGCCTGGGAATGCCTTGGGACGTATGGGGTCGTGTAACAAGTTGATTTACAGCAAAGGAGGCTTTTAAACAACATCTCAGCACAGTAGCAATATTTAGTAAATAATAGGTAGTAGTTATTCTGTACAAAGCAGCTCCAAAAAACACCTTTGCACTTTGCATGAAGATGAAATGAGGTCAGAACTGTTCATTCCACCTTAAGCTGAAGTTATAAGTTCTGATCACAAATACCTGATAACAATCACTATATTTAGAAACACCAGGTCATAACAAGATATTTACCAGAGGGGTCTTGAAGGCCTTTCTGAATTTATACTGCTTGTGTTTCTATGTGAAACTATTTGTTTTACATTTAAACACAGCAAATATTGTTCATAATATAACAATCTGGCACCACTGCATGACCATGGATGAATAAAGAAAAGTGGATTTCATGCAGTTTGTGGGGGGAAAAAAAACAAAGAAAAACCATAGAACAAAAAAAAAAACCTAACTCCTCTAACAGTTGAACTGGTTCAAGTATTTTGTCTTACTTCTGCAGTTGTTTATATTGTGTTACTTATAGGGAACTAATCAGATGCCTGCTTCTTCTTTTGTCCTGAGTTATGCTGAGAAACAACAGCAGATCATTTGTCGCAAACGCACCAGTAAGTTCATGACAAACTGCAAAATGACACTTTAACCATGTAGGGGTAAATTATTTTGAAGGTTTATTCAATAAATAATTTCAGAAAACAGAATTGCAAATGTGAATGTGTTGTGGAAATTAAAAAAAGGCACTTAAAAACAACGGTGACAAGCGTAACCTTTTGTTTACAGTAACCAGAAACTCTAGAAATCTAGACATCATTCTTTTACCACTGATATTTTAAGACTAAATGACATGATCACCATTTCTACGTCTTTTTAATAAAAATTGTTTGATCGAGCACCACAAAGGAGTTGGTTGGAATTTCTGATATATATATATAAAAAAAACTGGTGTCCTTTCCCAATTCATATCGTACAAATAAAACAAGGCATTCAATATAAGCTAATTTAGATAGCAAAAAGGCAGAGTTGTGTGTATTTGGCATTGCTGAGAGGAATTAAGGACCTGAGTTGGCTTTAAATTAAGCAAGTAAAACCCGGAGCCGAACAGTAATACTACTGTACACTAACGCCCTTCCATTTACAAAGGCAGCCCTAGAAAATAGATTTTCTAGACAAAGATACAATTTCAAATGATTGTTCAGATGGATTAAGTCACTCAAAAAACAAACATCCTATCGCCTTCAACCCTGTTCTGTGAATACATGTATGGCTTTACACAGAACCCGTAACGTACTGTACACATTTCATGGTGGCCGCCGTCGACCAGCTGGCGCTACACTTGAAGAGTTCGATCCAAAGAGATCCGGTACCTGCTCCGTCAAAACGATTACAGAAACGGTAAGACATTTGCTCAGACGGCAAATCAATGTTAAGACCATTGCTCGCCTTTTTTTTTTTTTTTTTCCAAACACTGACCAACTGATCACCTCTGACTCAACACTGTACATGTCGTAATTTGGAAAGACACCCTTCATTTGTTGCCAATTTTCAACATCCAATCCAACCCTCGACAAAACACTGATGGCTTCTATAAAAACAACAACAACAACAAAAAGGCACAGCGAGGCTCTCCATTATGTTGCCAGTCCTGTCGTGGAAAAACTACAAAACACATTCTTCCGAGTTCAAAAAACACAAACAACAAACATAAAACCCCACATTTATACAGACTGTACACATTTCAGATGATGCATAGGAAATAAAAACAAGTTAGTAAAACAAACTGAGAGTGGCAAAATGCATCGCTATCATTTGGTGACTACAACAACAACGAGAAACAAACAGTGAGCATTATCAAAACCCGCCCCTCCCCGCATCCCAGCCCGCTTTCTTTTCCATACAGTGTTGTCACAAGGAAGGCAGAGCTCCATCATTTGCCCTCGTACTTTGGATTGATGACGGTTGTTACGGCACTTTTGTAGATGGGATTCTCGCTCTGAGAAATGCAAACAGACAAACAGAAGGGCAACAGCAGTGAGTAAAAAACTTTAACAAGACACAGCAGCGGTCAGACCTTCACATGGGCCAATTCTGTGGCATCACAGAAGTATGGTATCAGTAAGTTCTGCAGCTTAAAGTAAAATGAAGTAACAACAAACCAGAGAAACCACCCACGATTTTGGTCAAGTATGTTTGTTGAGCTGGACTTCAGCAGTGAATGGTCTGATGCTGACGCTACAGTTTTAGCAACTAGAAGTCTGACTGTCAGGCTGCTACTTCGTCTGCTTGTGATGTTGTATTAGAAAGTTTTATCGACTACCTGCCCTTTTTAGGTGATAAGGAAAGTTGCAAACACCCAAAATAAAAAAACTCTGAACCCCAAAATCTGCCGGCAGGTTTGAAAGGCAAATTATCTTTAAAAAAAAAATCAGTAAAATTACAGAAATGATTGGAGAATAATTGGTGCAAACAGAAAGTTTTGTCAGATTCTCTACTTTCTGGCGGTCCTCGAACCAAATGTGTGTTGCGTTCGGTTCAACCTTAAAAAGTAACCAAATCTAAGCTTAAAATTCTGAAAAAAAAATACTGTATTTTACACATCTCATTCACAAAGTTTGATTCATTAAAACAAAACAATTCAGCGCTTTGTGAAACAGAGAAGCCACGAGTGACTCAGGTGTGATCAAAAGTCACATGACACATTCAGGTGAACTGCAGGCTGTGTTCATACACGGCACAGAGGAGACGAGTCTGGGAACAAATTAGAGAGATTGAGGGGAAAATGAAACGTTCTTTAGCAACAGAACAAATGAAGCATGGCTCAAACAATGTTACGCAGAGGAGCAAGTCGTTGGAAGGTACATTCAACACGGTGAAGCGTCTTTGCAGAGCAGTGGGGAAAATGCCTCGTTTGTAGAAGTTGTAAAAATAAAATAAGTCAAATATCTACAGTGTGTGGAGCCACTATTCTGTTTTTTTTTTTTCAATATTGGCAAAAACTGTGGGTACTTTTTTTTTAAACAAATGATTGTAAATTGTATTAATCAAAGAAATGTAGCGTCTTTTTTTAAAAATGATTTATGACATTTTAACTTGGCTGTACTGTTTCCATACAGGTCCAGGACTTTACACTGGAGTGAAAAACGAGCCCACAGTGACTAAGGAGCAAACAAACTCCCAGAAAACCACTTGGGGTTCAAATGGTGACGGCTATGAAGCACTGCTGAAGAAGAACAGAAATGGTAGTTTATGTGATTGGAGTGAACTGCATATTATCAATTCTAATATTCTACATAAATTTAAAGGCATTTCACGAAAAATAAGACAACAGAAATCTACACTCGTTAGTTTACAGGGTCAGAAAGCAGTTGAATAAGTAGCAGGATCCACCTTAGTTTATTATTTGCACCTCCTTCACACTGTGGTGGAGGTTGGACACGTTAATCTCACAACATGCAGACATCAAACCTTTCATTTCACCGCAGTCCTTAAATAGGAAACAGATGCACGAAGCAGACCGGTGATACAAACTTTGGCCTAAAGGGCGGTGGCTTTACTCCCATAGCTGGGATTCTGGAACTGGTTAATGGGACTCTTGTAAATGGGATTCCCTTGCTGACATGAAGATGAAAAGGAAAACAGAAGAGAAGGAAATAAAGAGCAGCAGGAAAAGGCAGTGGGAAGGACAGCCACAGAAGTCTGAGGGAAAATGTTTAAAGACATATTTCTTTCATGCTGTTTAATTTGAAAGTAGAGAAAACAGTGAAGGGGTCTCTGGTATAAACTGGGAAAAACTAGATTACCATACAAATTACAACAAAAACATAAAAGGGGAATGTAAATGTAAGAACGTTGGGTGGGGAAAATGGTGAGCAACAACGCTGGTTGTGATGAATGTCTTGCCTACAATCCTAAACCCTGCTGCTGCAGCTGCCACACACAGAGCAGCGGCAGAGCTTTCCATCAGCAGTCAGCCTCCTCTTTCTCTGCTTCATTGCCTTTTATGGTTGTGCAGTTGTAGCAAGTGGACAGTAAGAGGCAGCACTGACAGTGGAGGCGAAGGCCACTCCCTCAGTGAGGAGAGACTAAACAGGACTGCACACAACGGGCTGATCCAGGTCAGAGTCAGGACCACAGAGCTGCAGATTCTCTCATTCTGCCTACACATATTGTTTTTGTTGTGTGCACATCAGAGCTGACACTTCCTCTTTACATGCATATATGCTCTGCAGGAGGCTTTTTGCATGTGATGCTTTTCACTACAGATTAAGAGCAGGAAAAGTCCTACAATTATTTCCACCCAACCCTATTTATAGTTGAGGAAAGCCAGATTTTCACTTCCCTAACTAATTAGTCCAATATTAAGGCAGATATAAACATAAAAGCTAAAATAACACCAGCCGGATGCCTGGAAGTGACACATTATTTTAACAGTGGAATAAACTTAGATCTAAAGCTGAGGTGAAGCCACAGTGCAGAAACTCACCGCGTCCCACTTGGCGTTCATCTTCTCCTTCTCGAACTTGGCGAACTCTCTGCGGTCATGGATGATCATGAGCAGTTTCCAGATAAGGAGCAGAGCGAGGCCGATCAGCACGATGCCTGCAACCACACCTGCCACAATGGGGATGATGTCAGGTCCTGCCGGACACTCTGGGGAAAAAATAAAAAATAAAAAATACAAATGAAGAGAATGCAAAGAGGCCCAGTGAAACGTGTTGCCACAGTTCAAAGTAGAAAACATCCTATATGACAAGAAATTAGTCTTTAAAAACAATTTCCACGAACAGAGTGACCATGTGAAAGCGAAAATAATCTATTGGTTTTGACATCAAGCAGAAAACTAATAAATAAAACACAATCACAATCCCTTTACACACGATAATCCTGCTACAAACACTCCCATATTATGCTGTATTTGAATGTTGACCAGCACAAATGCCAACATTGTGGCTTAAAGGCAGCTCAGCAGAAATGACCCCAATTTCAACTTTTTACTTTCTTTTCACTAAGAAAAAAAATGCACCAGTCCCTCCTTGAACTTGTGATGTAGACTGTAACCATTAAGTAACTTGAGTTGTAAAGGTGTAAAAAGTCTCCTTTATAAACCATTTCAGATTTTTTTTCTACCAAATACAACGAACATTTTAGTACAAGTATCATTATGGTAAAGATGACTTCAAAATATCAGATAATGATTATAGATGTTGTCTGGTGTCCAAGTTTTTCAACATTAATTTGTACAAAACAAACCCTACCCAGTGACTCCACCACATAGACCTCCTTAGTTCTGTTCCTGATGGCGTAGGTGTAGTAAAACCAGCAGTCGTTGGCGTCTCGCTCCTTGCAGTGGGTCAGAGGGAAGTTTTGGTCTGTTGGCTGCGGCAGCTTGACGCGGTCGTTCACCTTTATCAGCTCGAAGTAGCTGCAATCCCGCTCACACGTATCCTTCTTCTCACCCTCCTGGAAAGCTCTGCACTGCACACAATCTCTGCGGAAACACAGGTGAAGGGTTGAGTCACTCTTTGTGATGTATTAGATTCCACAATCCAGGCAATGTAAGGGTCGGTTTATGGTCGGCCAGACATGATTATTCCTATTCTGAACAGCCACAGATAAAGACAGAGTGAAAGCCGGCAGTCACAGGGAGACAGGGATGTGATATAATTTAAATACAGGGATAACGGGAGACACTGTCTTTCCATGGAGGCTATCATTATATTGAGCTTGGTTATAACGTGAAAAGAACCACAAACAGCTACGTAACAAGTGAAAAGGAAGCTAAGGAATGAAGTGCCATCCTTAGCAGGCTAATCACAGCAAGAAATGGGTTGGATTAATAGATCTGGGAATTTAAGACACAAATCACCCTAATTCAGTGTCAGAGAAAACTGTGTGTGTGTGTGTGTGTGTGTGTGTGTGTGTGTGTGGTGTGCGCGTGCTGGCAATCCAACAAACAGCTCGACCGGGTATAAAGCCGGCTTAAGTGAACTACATCTCTCTGAATTTGAAAGAAAATTGAAGCGCTGATGCAGAGCCGTAGTCATGCTTTTAGAAAGTCAGGTCATGATACTAAAACTTACATCTTAACAAATCCCCAATTTCCAGGAAGAAACTAAGTCATCACTTCACTGCCCCCAACTCTAGCTACAGCCATGCACACATAACAACACACAGCAAGCAGATGGAAACCACCTGCTGTTAGTTTGAGGCTCAGGGCTCAAAATCAAATCCTTCTTGCTTTGCTTTCTGGTGCGAATAATTTCTCAATTTATTACAGCTGGCAAACACCAAAAATACAGAAAACAGAAGAAAGCACTATAGTGAATACATCCAACAAGTTTTCATACATACATTTACTGAGAATGTCATCACAATTCACGTGCCTGAGTCTAAATCTACTTGCTCCGTAACATCTGTGGCTACAGGAAAACTTTCACTTTTCTGAATTTTCAATCACTAGCAAAGCATGAAAGCTTCACACTCACTTGTGTTCGGGGCAAACACCAGGGCAGGTGGGACAGATCTCACAGGTTGGACCCTGGAATTTGGCACTGGTGCATTTGCAGATTCCACATTCACAAATACCACGGCCGTTACAGATCTGCCCGTTCTTTGCAAGGCAGGTAGAGCTGTCCATGGAACAGTCGCAGGCACTGCCGGTGTAGTTGGCATCACAGACGCACTTCCTGCATACGCAGCGTCCATGTCCTGGCAGAGCACAGACAACGGCAAAGATTACCACAGAGTTCACCACAATTTGGTGTCTGTCTTTACAATGATTTTACTTCCTCACCTCCACAGAGCTTGTTGTTGGAGCGGTCACAGTTGAAGTTGTCGCACTCGCAATACTGTCCACTGTAAACCTCAGCAGGATTCTCACGCTTCTTGCATTCACATGTACCGCAGACACAGTCGCCGTTGTTGCTACAGATATCAGTACCGTTGTCTTTTCGGCAGTTGGCGTCCAGGTCCTCAGTTCGGACTTCATCTTTGCTGCACTCACAAAGTCCTCCGATACGTCCGTCATTACACCTGACACACAAAATAAAGGTTTACCATTTTAGATGTGTGTCATCAAATCTAAAAAAATCGAAATAAGATAATAATAAAAAACAAACAGCACACTAACTGTGTTGAACCAATAAGTGATTTTGTGGGAGGATAACAATAAAATCCCACACTTTCTCTTTTTTATCTATTTAATAATGTGCAATATTGGCCTAAAATCAACAGCTTTTCATTCAATTTATCAGCACACTGTTCTGTTTTAATCAGGAGTTCTCCTTTCTGCTTAAAGGTGTACAGCTGTGGTTGGAAAACTACAAACACACAAATCCTCCACAGTACTCGGTTCAGCAGCTCTGATCAAATACACCTTCCTGCCTTAGTACTTACTTGCAGGCTCCACACTCGAAGGTCCCGTGGCCATCGCTGCACTTCATGCTGTTGAGCTCCCCAGATTTGGCGCACTGACAGTCGCAGATGAAATTCAGAACAACTTCCACCTCCTCAGTGAAGCCCAGCGGTTTGATTGTGATGGTCTCAGACTTGTTATCTGACGGACACTTCTGGGATTCGATGGAAATCTTGAAAGTCACCTGGAAACCAGAGGGGAGTTCACATGGCCATCAAACCAAACAAGAAGAAGGTTTTAAAGCGTGTTGTGCCATTTGTTCAGCCATGACTCAGGTTGTTAGCATGCAATATGTTTTGAAGTGATTTTTTTTCCCCAATCTGTTGGCTCTTCTCTTTTATCTATTTTGTGCCACGGTTTCTCGTCTTGCCTCCAACGTCCTACCTGTGACCAAGAAACTGATCCCTGTCTTAGCCTTGATCTTATGAAATGAATGAATGAAAAATACTTTATTTATCCCAGAAGGGAAATTCAATTCTTGATCCTTATCCTTGAGGAACATCTAAATTCTGTGTCTCAAAGAGTAAAGAGGTGTTGGAGCTATGAGTGGGGATGCAGATGTCTATCTGGCACCCGCAACATATAGAAGACTCGTGACATTGCTGGACTACATGTGGACAAATATGTGTATTTAATATATAACGATCACAATACATGTCAGGCTTTATTTGTATAGTAGCCTTCTCTTCTATACTTACAGCACGTGTGTTGAAAAAAAACAAAAAACAATCTAATTTAAGGCATCTGTGCATTCCTGTTACACTGTGCAATGTCTGAATCCAAAGTAAATATGTACTAAGTTGTCATGACCACTGTTATGCTCATTTGACAGAGACTGTAAAATACAGCGGCATGCTTTAACAAAACACATGTGGTGCAGAACAGACACAGTGCAGCTGTGCCGAATGTCACATGTAACTTATGCTGCTTTAATAACAGCAAAAGGCTCATTTTGTTAAATTCCTGTTGCCTTGATTCTGCTCTTCCCGTCTTTCTTCATCACCTCGTCCACTTGCATCTCAGGTGGAAGGAACTAACACGACTGGATAGGGGGCGGCAAAAGGAACTGAAGACTTAAAAATTGAAGAATGAGAAGAGGAGTACGTGTTTTGTGTTTTGCCAACTTCTTCTCCTAATGTAGAACCAGAAGGAGGGAATAATGTGGTCGACTTGCCAGTTTCACATCCTTGAAACAGGACTTGCAGGCAATAAAGTAAATCTGCTGTCAAGCGATGGGCACGTTCATCAAACATGCTGTGGCTGCAACATATGAGTTGAAAGGTCTAAATTTTTCGTCCCGTACGTGTACCTTTTATAAACGGAAACATACTGCAACAGAAAACATCCTCTTTACCTCGTCTCCGATGGAGATGTTGGAACATTTCCGGCCATTCTCCCCTGTTCCCTCCACGCCGTTCTTGCAGATGGACTTGTAGGTGATGGAAACTCCCTCCGGCAGTCTACCGTTTTCCAGAATGACCTCAGATGACAAAGACTGTTGAAAAGAAAAAAAGACTCAAATGTTCAATATAAGCAGCACACTTGCAGGGGCAGTAGATCAAAGAAGCTGTTTACACGAGCTTCTCTCCAGGCAGAAACACAGGAGACTTTCTAGCCAGGCCTTATTAATAATTAGTATTTTAGGGAGTGGTACGGCCAAGACACAATTTGGGATAATTCTTTAGGATGGACAGATTTCATTAAATATGAATGTTGGCAAGTATCACATGTTGTGTAAGGAGGAGAGAAGGAAGCTTTGGGATGCTGCCATCAGCTTTTCCGAAGCACCTTTGAGTAACTAATTGCTTGCCTTCACAAAAAATTTGAAAGTACATGACCTCTAGTGGTGTTCTGGTATAATCTATATTTAGTTTGTGAAAAGAAAGATCACATTTTCCCATATGATTAATTTAAAATGTCAAGTAAAATATGTAAAAATGTGAAATAAATGAAGCAATAATGCAAATTAATTGATCCCGTGTTGCCAAGTGCTGTCAGTGTTCAAAGACTGTGCAGTTTTGACTTACATTGTATGCATCAATAATGAGCTTGATCACATTGCTGGAGTTGGAGGACAGGGTGCCAACAGCTGATTTAGGAATCAGATTTTTTAACTCCTGCAAGTGTCAAAAGAAAGAACACAAAGAACATTTTTAACTTGAACCTTACTTTTGAATCATATCGTGGTTCATACAAAAAGTCAACATTTTTAAGAAGGAGGCTCTTCTGCATGCACAATGTACAAAGTTTACCTTGTAAACTGGCTGGAACTCCTCAGTCACAGCAAAGATGGTCTGGATGTTGTGGTCGCTCAATTTCTGGACGAGATGAGCGATGGATGGGTAGTCCTATCAAACACAGGCACGTAAATATTAACCTTTTATTTCGTAATAAAAGCCAAACTTAACTACCTGGAAAATAGTGAGTCTGGAAAGAGTGTTCAAATGAAAAGAGACCAGAAGCAAGAAGGTCTTTAACGCCCAGTCAGCTCTGCCTGGATGCATTATGCATGTAAAATAAATGATCAACGACTTACATAGTAGTGGCTCATGGTGTACATGTTGTTCTCCAGATGGCACTTCCCATCGTTGGGCAGGACAATGCCGCCCAGTTTGCCGTCTCCAGCGAAGTGGAAACCAGCATCAGTGGAAAACACGAGCAGACGGGTGACGTTCCTCCAGCCGATTTGCTCCTGGGATGAAGAGGGTCTCAGCATAAATATTTTACTTACTTACAAGAGGCTCTTGCCGAGATGCAGAAGAGTGGAAAGATGAATAACAGCTGACACCTCACCTCACAAACCGCCACCTGCATGATGGCATCAAAACCACCCTCTGGAGAGTCCAGGTTTCCAGAGATCTGCTGCTGACTGACCAAGCGATTGAATTCGTCTCCCTTGTTTGTCAGCTTCAGGACGTTCTTATAGCTGAAGGGGCTGGTACAGTTCTGGTTCCCTGTGCAGGGGTTGATGAGCCTGGCTGGTGTGGTGCTGATGTAAGGCATGACTGTTTTCTCCACAAAGGAGCCAAAACCTAGAAATCAAAAAGACTGCATTTTAGTCAAGACTGTATAAATGTTTGTAAAGTTTTTTTTTTATAATTTAGAGTCAAGTTTTTCTCACCAATCCTGAAGTCGGAGGTGATTTCCTGCATTTCTCTCATGAGATCAGTGCCAAGGTTCTTGACATTTTCCAAATCATCCTTCATAGAGAAGGAGAGGTCCATAAGGTAATACAGGTCAATGGGGTAGTCCTCAGCACGCTTGAATGTCAGGTCAAAAGTCTGCGGCTCACCTTGAGGACAAAAACAGACCATTTTTAATGTAAGAGATGTTGACAGCAACAAAAACAAGGGTTGTACAGGCTGGCAATGGCCTGCACCTCTGTGTTTCCTCCCATTTATTGCTGCACCGGGCTCAAGACAGACAACAAAACAGAGTCACAGGTAAAGACAAAACTGTTTCTGAAGATATAAAATTGTAAATCAAAATCACATCAAGTTCACTGCCGTTTTGCTGTACATACACAGTAGTACAGGCAACTTGAAAAATAAACACTTAAATACCTAAAAATGTACAAAAAGAAAGAATTGTAAAAATGGTTGAAATTTTAAATATATTTCTTGAGACTATTAGAATCCGTTTAATTTAATTTCTAATCATTTTGAATCAGCAGGTATGAAGGAAATTGTAAAAACAGATTCTGCAGCAAATCTTCCTTTCAGCCTGTTTTAAAGTCCGACAAGACCGACTGTGTTTGTTGACTTTTTGAAAACACATTCTACAGAGAAATAACTTCTCGTGCTCAAAGTGACTTCTAGCTTTCCTCGAGAGCTGGTAGATGCCTGACTTAGAGAGATCCACACATCCAGTACCATAAACCAGTCAACTATCAAATCCTTTACTTCACAGAAATCACAGCTTTTCCTGCGACTTGAAAACAGTTTCAAACACACGATTCTCTGCAGTAATAAAGCATTACAACATGAGGTGAATATTTACCAGATCTAAGTGTCAGGGTGAGTTTCTGAGGCTGTATCTGGGTGATTTGTTCAGGCTTCAGCTTCTCAGCATTACTGTTGCGAATCGTGACCGGCTTGTTGGTGTTGATAACGGTGTTTCCACGCGGGTTCTCAATGTTTTCCGGCTTACAATTTCTCTTCTTCAGGGACTCAAGATCATCACAGCGGGCCGATTTAGACTGGCCTACAGTGAGGAATTTCTGAAAAAGAGCAAAAGTGGCTGTTAGCGGATCGTTCTAAATCCAATTTGTACTACATACCTGAAAACTATTCTATACGTTGCTCCTTGGGCTAACACTTTCTTTACAGTTCCTTTTCAGGATGGAAACCTTGCTGTTGCAGGAATTTATTCACATAAATGCAACAATAAATAACAAGATGTAGATGTCGACCGACTTCCCATGCACAAAAATCTAAAGTAGTTTTCATAGGTATATGCAGGAGCATCTGGTCCTGTAAACGTGCACTCATTTCTCCTGGCTGGACTGACAAGAACAAACATGATGACAACCAGCTCAGCAACAGTGTGTATTGACAAACATGCTAGAGGAAAACAGGAATTAAATCTTAAACGGGTCACTTTACAAGTTCCAGATCTTCATGTAAGCCAATAAAACTTGCTAATCTTTGGAGTATGAATGCTTCAGATAGAAATCTCAGGATCTCTGATGTGACCAAAAATGGAATCTATGATGAAGTAATGGTACTTTTTCCAACCAGCGAGGCCACTGAAATCTATCCATTTTACATTAATTGATTTGAACAGCGCTGTTTGTAGGCCATTGTTCATAAGCAGTAAAAAAAAAACAAAAAAAACAAGGAGAAACAGATGACTAGGACTGAGAATATAGATTAGATGCACATGAAATGCCACAAGGCACAGTGGGGGAGAATTTGAGACAATGAACTCAGTCAAAACAGAAATAGTACTTTGACCCAATTCTTTCAAAACCACATGACCCAGAGAAACCTCTTATTTCTCCCCTGCGTCAGCAGTGCATATCAGATGGGATCTATTCGAAAGATAAAAAACATATACGAACACTGAGCTGGCAGGGTAAGTGCAGAAGAGTAGGTAACAGAGAGACAGAGAGGTTTGTCCATCTCAGTTTCACAGACAATAATGCATTTATATTCTACAGTGAGTTTTAGTGAATGCACTGGAATCAGTGTAAAAACCACAATATAGTTTGTTACGGACCATCTTTATCAAGTAGGATCTTGGTTGTTTTATAGCTATGTGAATCCTCTATCAGATTAAAACCTAAAAATCAAGAACCAAATGTATTTTCATGCTCCATGAAAAAGCAACCAAATGTGACAGTACAAAAAACATGCAGTGTTTTCTCATGCCCTGGGGTGGATATCAGTAAACAATCTGATAGAGAAGTACGGACAAGATATAACAGGAATGCTGCTCTGTCTTTGACGTATGCCAAACTGATGCCCAACCCTGATAGATGTTTTCATTAAATGATTATGGTTAGTTTCAGAGTAAATAGTGCTTCACGGGGACATGCTGACCAACCAAAGCTCACTATATAGATGTTAACAGATACAGCTTAAACCAGAGATCTCCAACTCCGGTCCTCGTGAGCTACTGTCCTGCAGGGTTTAGACGTTTCCAGACTGCAACACACCTGACTCAAATTAATGGATCATTAACAAACTTGTGCAGAACTTGACAACAAGCTGTTGGAGATCCAAACGTCTAAAACCTGCAGGACAGTAGCTCACGAGGACCGGAGTTGGAGATCCCTGGCTTAAACTGTGCTATTTTGGAGATGTTCAGTGATATTTCCAAATGGACAAGATTTTGAGATTGTAAACCACGTGGCTGCAGTGTCCGATGTAGAAACAATCAGACTGATATCGAAGTAGAAACATGATCAAAAGTCATTGTCTACTTCCACTGATTCTCAATAACCTCTCTCTTGCATAGCATGACTCACATTTCATTGACATTTGTCATTTGTTTGCCCTGCAGGCTACTGGTATATTCCAGCTGTGAACGAGTGAGTAAACGCTTCAGTTTAACCTCATGTTCATGGTCCTATAAGTCAGTCTTTTCATATACTGTGGTGTGTTCACTCAGTAGTGTCACCACAGCAAGGATACTCACCGTGGGTACTAAAACACCTAATTAAACAGCTTTATTGTGCCCAAGTTTCCAGTGAAGACAAGAAGCAGCAGCACTGATGTTTACAATAAGCAGAGCAGCTGTGGTTGACTTGCCCTAAGTTAAAGTCTCTTTAATCTCTTAACTCTGTAGTACTTAGAGGCTAAGTACAGTTTACATGTATGCGTCCCCTTATTTAACAGCATCAATATGAGAAAACCACCTTTTTGCACCTCTGTTCCAAATTGATGGATAAATATCATCAAAAACATATTTCATAGTATTTTGCCACTAAACTCGTGGTATGTTTGGACTTCTTTGTAATCAATCTAACCATGACTCCAGTCTGCTGTATGTGGACTATGTTAGACCTGTCAAACTTGGCATTGTTCTTTACGGACACTATAATTCGCATTATTTCATGAACAAGATGATGGCTACCAACACAGAAGGAAATGAAAATGCCACCCACAGTTTAAAATCGTCTACATAGGTTTCAGTCACATGAAAAAATAACATCATAGCAGCTTTACTGAATCAACTCACTTCATCTGAGCACCATCCGCATGTCTCGGAGACCTGGATGCATTCCCCACATGACTGTGCGTTTGCCTTGATGCATATGCTTCCCTCTGGAAGAGACAACACAAGTTCTTTTTTTAGCCAACAGTTTTTCCATTAGTTCACTAAGTCAAACCAGCTTTTTGCTGCAAAGAAAAAAAACAAAAAAAACCATCCCCCTCCCGGTTCAGAACACTGAGTCATGCTGGGAAGAGCTCTAGGCAGCTCACCAAGATGACTTCACCCTGTAAAAAAAAAAACCCTCCCACTGTTAGCCAAGACGACCAACGCAGTCATAAAATCATGAATGGAGAAACACAAGATTTAAAAAGAGGCAATGAAGGAAAGAAAGCAAGTTTGAAACTATTCTACCGCTGTAATGCATTAAACACTTTTGTCTACAACAGACAAAAGAATCACTGGATCCATGAACACTGTGGTGACTGTACACACTGCACAGAGCTGAAAACACGCTCTGGTGCTGGTTAGCTAATATTTAACACAAATTTGACATTTCTGTGTTCTTGCTTCTTACCTTGCTGTGCCCAGCTGCCACTGAGCGACGCCGATAATGTCGCTATTAAAAGTAACCGCAGATCCATCTGAGAAAGAGAAACATATGAAATAGGTCACCACAGGATGAAAGACAGAGATCTGTTGGACACGTTTTTCTACAGGTACACCGGTATTCAAAATATGCATCATTTTCGACTTACAAACGTTTGCAGCTGCACGGAATTGTGTAGTGCAATTAAACCTCAACAGTCACATGCATTTTGTTGTCGTTGGAGATGTTTATTGTGACACAAGCTAATTTTTCAAAGCGATTCACACTGAGGTTGCATCTGAAAGGTGTGATCACACAACCTTCCATGTGTGCACACACAGGAAGATGTGGTAAAAAGCTCATGAAGCCAAACAGACGAACTCTGTTACGGCCTTTAAATAGGACTGCATGGTGGCTTTAGTTGTTAGTGCCGTCGCCTCACAGCTAGAAGATCCTCAGTTTGCGTCCCGTTTAGGATGCCTGGGATCTTTCTGTTTGGAGTTTGCATGTTCGCCCTGTGCAGCGTAGGTTCTCACAAGGTTCTCTGGCTTCCTCCCAGTCAAAAATCTTGCTGAGGTTAATTGGTGACTATAACTGAATGCGAGTGTGCTTGTCTGTCTCTCTGTGTGGCCCTGTGATAGACTGGTTACCTGTCCAGGGTGTCCCCTGCCTTCACCCTGAGTCAGCTGGTACAGGCTCCAGCCCCCCAGTAACCCTAGTGACGATTAAACGGTGTATAAATAATGGATGGATGGTCTAAAAGTACCAGGTTTCAATTCAGGATTTCTATTTTTCCTATGGAACATAGCTGCACAGTGCACGGCACACAAATTCCCTTTTTTTTAAAATGATACCATTGCTTTATAATTCTTAAAAACTAATTTTCATTAGACCACAGTGATGAATACAAGATTTTAAAAAAATATCAGATCATCGCTATGTAATGCATCAACGCAGATTTTTTTCTTATGTCGTGTTATTCTGATGATGAGGTTTTACAGCACTGAGCTCTATTCCAAATATGGAGGAATGATTCACCCACACTCTGCTGGCAGCTCATCAGCACCTCCATGAACCAGCACACTGCACATTTGCTTTCTGACTGAGGTTTTGTAACTTCTGTGCTTTGTCTGAAAAAGGTAGCTGATTATCTCAACATGATTCGACAAGAAAATCACCTTGTAGGACAGACAGCAGACTGAAAAGATGTAATAAAAATGTCACAAAAGTGGGAGAATTACCACATTTGCTTAAGGTGTTTAGTCTTATCCAAAGAAATGCACAACACTGAGTCTAACAGCAGACATGTAATGACTGTAACAGATGAGTAGCAGCTTTAATACTGAGATGACAGACATTTCAAGCTACCACAGCAAAGAATGCAAGCTAGAGAGGAATAACTGCGGTTCATTAGGCAGTCCCATGATGCCTTTCTACCACACTAAGACGGACTGCTAAGCATAAACCACCCAGCAACAAGAAAAACAGAACTAAACAAAGATAAAAATCCAAAAAAGATTGTTAGTTTCACAGACAGCTTAGCCTTGGTGGTGGTGGGTCAACATTTCTACCTGACAGCGAATAGAAACACCACTATGGTGACAACTGCACAGCAGAAGACAAAGACCAAGGGTAAGTGAGTTCGCATGTGTGTGTGCGTTTCCATATTTGGTCAGGCGGTTTCATGCCTCTTCCTGAATCTCTGCCATTCCCCACAACTGCAGTGACACACTTCCTTGACTGGCTGCCCAATCCTCAAACTCAGAATTTCTGACCAGCTCTCTGTGTGTTTGCCCCAGAAACATAAACGTAGGAAATATTCTGTGTTGACAACAGCTAAGTCAACACATGTGTCTCAAAATAGTCTATCGCTGTTGGATATTCTCAAGATAAGAAGGGTCAATAGAATTTATTTATTTGTACTAAACGAGAAAATGTGAAGTTTACAGTTAACTATTGGAGAAGTGGAGGGACTTTAAAGCAGTGAAAAGGTGTGATATTCTAGCTGCTGTGCTGTGGGTCAAAGGGTACATGCAACCACAAAGCCACCACATCCTGTGAAATGAGGCCTAGCAATCAACTTAGATGCCCACTTCCTAAACATGCTGCACACTGGTACCAAACAAAAGCATGATGGTAGACAACTCATGTTGCATCCAGCAGAAATAACATAATTAAATTAGAGTTTCAAGCCATGAACAGGATATTTTTTGTCAACTGAATTCCAGTTTATCAAAATGAGGTCTAACGATCAACTTAAATGCAAGTTTCCTATAAATGCTAAACACTGCTCCCAAAAAAACCCCATAATGGTCGACAACTAGTGCTGCATCCAGCAGATATAGCACTGATTTTTCTTCCAGACTTTCAAGGCACGAACAAGACATAGATATTATTTTTGCACTATTACTCCTTCACACAACTGCCAACCAGAACGTGACACAAACAATCACTTGTGGCGAAGATTGGCAAAATGTTCAACATGCAATGTATCTGGTAGGATGCGTCATAAAATTAAAACCAGCACAAACCGTTGACGCTCCACCCTGACATTCCTGCAGACCATCTCTGTTTACCGCTCTGGGGACCTCAGAGCTGCAAATTGCAGAGAGTTGACAGATTGGAAGGCATTCAGCGCCTCCATTAGTCAGAGCCAATGGCATTTGTGGTGCTAATATTGAGGAACGTTAATCTTGGGGGAAAAAAAAGTTTGCTTCCACATCTATCCTGAATAAAATATCGAGGACAACGCCCAGATATAACTGTGATCAAATCTCAAAATTTCCTTGACCTATTAGTCTTTTCTTGAAGTTATGTTTATTTCTTTGTTGCTGACGTTCACTCATAGTGGGTTTCAATTAATATCACATGAGCAGGCAATGTCCTGTAGAGCCTCACAGCCTTCTTTCATTCTACCCTTTGGAAACAGCAGTCATCAGCGCAACACTATTATCTGAATCAGAGTCCGACTGGTAGAATTTACAGGTTCAATAGAAATGTTGGGACATAACGTCAGCGTGACTTCCCACCCTGTCACAGCTGATAAGAGCTGATAACTTCAAGTAGACACAGCGAGGAGGCTTAATCCACAAAGGACTGTGGTAAAAGTACTCCTCAAAACTGTGAAACACGATAAAACACAGTCAACTGGAACATGATCAATTCAGATGAGAAAAAAGAGGTCAAACAGCATCTCAGCAGGTAACTCCTGTGTTTTAGAAGCTCCAGCTCCTTTGCAAAAACAATCCTCGGTATCACAGTTTTTTAATGGAAAAGGCTGCAATTAACACTTATTTTCATGACTGAAGAAGCTGCAGAACATTTTCTCAATTCATTTACGCAACAGCTGGTCTACAAAGCGTGAGAAAAAAGTGCTAAATGCTTGTTGTAATACTTCACAACCTCGCAAGATGTATTCATAGTAAATATTTCAAAACCACCAAAATTACCACACCTGAGAAACTAGAAAACACATCAATTCATGATTAAAAAAATAAAAATAAAGTACACAAAGTCCTGCAGCTCTGGCTCCCTGTTGGTCAGCATTCATACATCTCTTAACCTTGTGCTGTTTCCATCCACTATGCAAAACTATGAAACACACTTTGTGTCTTTATCAGTCGCACATACCAGCTGAGCTGAGTAGAAGAGAAATGACAGATTTGAAAACAAAAGAGGATTGTTTAAATGGATCACAGCCTCTCAAGACAAAGCTGCTGAGGTGTGAGATGATGAGCGAAAAAACAACTGTCAAGCTAACAAAGTGTTTAAAAACTAATACAATCTTTTCCATCATCTTCCTTATTTCCCCGTTCTCTTTACCACCGTGCAGAAACTATGGCGTATGAGTGGTCGTGATGACAGACCTGAGAGTATAATATTTAGAACAGGAGTAAACTGTACCTAACCATGACTTTGTATGGTCAGGCTGCAGAAGACGGAGATGACACATGCTTTGTGTTCATGGTGCTTAATGTTGGCGTCAGTTTTTTATTACAGCTGCAGTGCTGTTCACAATAGCCAAAGCAGCTCAGGTCTTTCCAGTACAAGTACAGCAACTGAAGCAGTGTTTCACCAAGCAGTTGTAAAATAGACAGATACTTCATTCACCCCCTTGGGGAAATTCAAGAAGAAGTTCTTCCAGCGATGCACATGTGACATGTGACTGTGGCAACACAAAGCAGGGTTCTGCTGAATGCTCCTCATCCAAATATTAGTTTTACCTATCCTGACTGTTACATTGAATTTGCTAAATTATCTGTCATTCCTAGAAATCAAATCACTCAGTTAGTTGACAAAAATAAAAAAAGCCATTTTGCTAACATATAATGAACTTCTGTCATTTCTTAAGACTCTATACACGTGTGCAACTACGACAGTTTGCCGGCTTTCTGCAATAACAAACTAAATAACTTTGGGTTTTGGACTGATGTTTGAATAAAATTAGTAATATAAAGATTAGGAAACCTTACAGATTGAATATCTATAAAAAAAAAAAAAAGCATGTTAATTGATGATTATTAGTTGCAGCTCCATAGTTACCTGTGTTCAGATTCCAGTCATTGACCTGCTCAAAATCTCTTCTCAGTTTCTTTAAACTCCAGACATACCAAACATTGACAGATGTTGCTTCTTCAGCCTTTATTACAGTAAACTGAATATCTTTTGGGTTGTGGAAATAATAAGACATTTGAGGACATCATCTTGGGTTTGGGGAAGCAGTGACTGATCGACTACTTTCACGTTTGATTAATCTACAGATTGATCGGACATGAAAATAATCTGAGCTGCCCAAAACCAATCTGGTGATAGGAGGCTGGATTCAAATTTGGACAAAAAACTGCCACAATGATGACAACAAGCATGAAGGAGACTGACATGACTGCACCGGTGGTTGTATGAATCACTACATAATCCATGATGATTGATAATTACATTAGCAGGACACAGATATGTTGCTTGCTGCTGAATGGTTAGGACTAAATAACAACCCTTACCACACAGAAAACAGCTAATATGAACATAAAATGTTTTCTGGCCTCGAAGAAATGGTTT